ACAGTTCTTTATGTCGGGAGTGTTGAACGACAATAATAACCAATTCTGTATTTGATTATGACATAATTTTGAAGTGGTTTTCAGAAAATTTTGGCTATTATTTACGGTTATAACTGTAACAGCTTGTCTAAAGGTAGACCTATAATTAACTGACAGTTAGTAACCCGCATTTGCCTTGTATATATATTTCTTCATTGCATCAAACTATCTGTTGTCAAGTATCGTCACAGTACAGAGTAAGATTAATGGCATGAAACATTGTCGTTTGCAAGCTTCAACTTATATTTAAGTTAAGCAAAAAATTTGAAGAAAACATTTGTTGATTAACAGATTTATGCGGTTTATTCAAATGGTTATTTGGGCATTAGTTAGTTGAATCAATCTGTACAATGTGACGTTGTTTTAACAAACCGATGGATTGATGCAGCAGTTCAAAATTATGACTGTTATGTGCAACAAACCAAAAGCTACTTCAAAAGATTTTTGTACAATTACTCTTATACCTGCAAACTGTTAGCAGTGAGGAAAAGTACATTTTTACAAAATGTATTCTACAAAAAAAGTTTTTTTCAAGTTTAAAATTTTTTTTTGAATAAAACAATCAAGAAAATTTGTTTCAGTACTGTTTACAAATCTCGTTGTTCTATGGTCTTTATTACCTTTGTACACCTGAACAAAACTAGTAATGTCAATATTTTTTGTACAGCCACTTATCGTACTCTAATTTAAAACTATTTTTAATTAGAAAATTTTTTTAAAATTTTTTATTCCACTTTTTCTTATTACGTTCTGTCTCCAAAGAACAATTACCTGATCAGTTTTAAAGATTAATCAATAAACCCACTTCCTCTCTCCCCCAAAAAGAAAAACTGCATTTTTAATGCTGTTTTTTTCGTTTACAAACTTCTTACTCCTAATCAACATAAAATGTATAGAATTGAAAAAATGAGGAGAAAGAGTCTAGAAGAAGAAAAGAAATGCACTTTTTTTCAGTCTACGCAATAAATCATGGTTGAAAAGTTGAACTTGTAGTATCACTTGAAATTTTTAACCCATTTTTCTGCTTAAATACTTCGGTGCAGAACAAATTTGCAGATTGCTTAAATAGTAAAAAAAAAGTTGACTGCGTATTTATTTTCGACGACATCTCAGCTTTAATACAAACTTTTTCTTTTCTAAACAGCTCAGAGAAAACAGATGAACAATAAACATGTCAACAACATAAATTTTAGACTGTTTCTTGCACTTGACTTTTTTTTTTCAACAATACTACTTTTGTCTAAAATTAAATAAGAATCATTTGTGAACATAATTTATTTATCAATTTAATCTTTGAACTTTATCGACTACTAAAAGAATTTTTAGCTCAGAAATAATCTTAAAATCATAAACCTTTTCAATAAAAGAATAAATGCTCAAACAGAACATTTAATACAGTCAACAACTGAAAATTACATATGAACTGTTTGATAAAAAAAAGAAAAATCTTCTTTTTCAAACACTCATTCTCGTTCTGATCTCCTTCGTTTACTCTTCAGCTTTTTATCAGTAGTATTACATTTCATTTGTATACGATATTATTGGCATTTGCAGTTTTATTACTTTTAACTGCATCTCCACTTTCCACAAATTTTTTTTTCAGAATCTAACTCAAGAAGGTCATCGATGACCCTGTCGATGCCTGTAGGTGAAGACACAACAACAAATTCACCGGAACCTCCATGTCCGCCAACACCTTCACGTTCTTCACGTGCATTTTCTCCTTGTTCTATTCCGCCACCAACACCAACAACAGTAGATCGAGCACGTATTCTAGAAGAAACCCATAATCAAGTTAGACATCATCTAGTCTACAAAAAATTTTGTTTTTTAACCGATGGTTTCCTCACTTTAGGCAGTGCACTGCTGGTTCAAAAGACAATTTCAAAATAAGCAGTGAAAAGAACATCCTCGCTATAACAGATCTGCTGAACTGGTATATAACTGTTTTTGTGTATCTCTGTTTCAGATGACCTTAAAACACACAGAAATTTTGGCTAACGTAGCGGAACGGTTGCCAGATTACGTAAAACGACGGGACAACCCATTGAGTCGAAATAGGCTTAATCAGTAAATTAATTTAAATGGCTGTAAAAAGTAGCAAGAAAACCAGCATTTAAAAGCTGTTGGCCCTCTAAAACAGATTTTTAGCTTTCTAATCCACTTTTCTATTACGTTTCAATTTACAGGTTAAGTTTCTCCGATTTAAACTTCAAGTCTTTTTCTCCAGTTTTAATCAAAGGATCATCTTTATTTTTCGACGCATATCTGATCCGAAAAGCTCAAGATAACATTGATGTCACCGTTATGGTTTATCTTTCACTCCTATTTATTTATTTTTTTCCTGAGTTTTTGCCTCAACGTTTATTCTTTAAGTAGTTTTTACTTAATGCTGTACATGTCATGTTTTTACTTTACTTTTCTTAAAATAACCTCTTGTTGCACCAGTGCAACAATTCCTGTTCTGGAGATAGGCATAAGAAGCTTCATCTGACAATCGGGTCTAGTTGAAAAAGAAGAGTTTTAAGCAAGTAAATGTGTTCGCTGACCATTAGGGTTTTTCGATAGATTCAGTCAGATGCATTGGTTCAACGGATGCGTTGTCCGACCGAATTCTTCACCCTACAAATAGCAAGCTTAGCTGACCTGGCTAAAACGGTACAAACCATGCTGTTGGACCTTTCTTCTTCGGAAGCAGTAATTAAGCAGAGCTCGTTGTTTTCCAAGAGTCCTTTGAACGTCCTGTGTATCTAAGATTACTCTGGAATTTGTACCGTCTAGTAATCTTATGTCATCGTTATTTGAACAGTCTTGATCTGTTTCTGGTGTCCCAGTTACAGCATTGCTAGGTTAGTTTTCATTCTTGCGCTATGTTTTATTCTGGTGTCTTCCTTTTCTGGGCTTTTTTGATGTGCCTCCTCTGTGCCTCAATCTGAGTGTCCTTTTGTTGTTGCTTTATTGTTTTATGTCTTTTGAGATATTTCTACCTTGTCTTTACCAGTCAGGTAACTGCTCTAAATCACATTATATGACCTATAGAGAGCTCACGGTATAACTAAATACTGCGCTGAGGTCTCTTGCTGCTCAAGATTATGTTAGCACCTTGAGCAGTGATCTTGTTCAAGCGTTAGAAGCTTTTGCTAGAACCTGATTTTGGCGGAAATATTTAAATTGGTACTTGGAGTGCGGGTTGAAGTAACAACATTCAGAATATAAAAATTGAAGGCTATAAGTTATACTCTTGCTGCTCAAGATTATGTTAGCACCATATTTAATTAAATTGTGAACTTTTTATACGTCATATGATTTTATCAAAAGCAGATATCTAACGGTAAAAGATAAGACAGAAATATCTTAAAAGACATAAAACAATAAGGAAACAACGAAGGACACTCAGACTGAGGCACAGAGGAGGCACACCAAAAAACCCTAAAAAACGAAGATACCAGAATAAAGCATAGCGCAAGAATGAAACTAATCTAGCAGTGCTGTAGCTGGGACACCAATAACAGATCAAGACTGTTTGAATAACGATAACATAGGACTACTGGACGGTACAGATTCCAGAGTAGTGGAGGAACATAGAAGAATGTTTAAAAAAGACCTGATTTCCAGATTAAATTTTATTTGCCTGCTCTCATGACAGGAATTGTTTCGTTAGTGCAATACTCTTAGTAAAAGTACTCTAAAAAATTATATAATTTATTTATCCATTGTTATTTAGCAGAAGCTTTTGTTATTATACGGTTGTCGGTAACAAGAGTCCGATCTTATTAACAATTCAATTAGACAAAAATTATAAAATTATAAGCTAAAGTCAAATGCAAACTTTTGATACTACTATAAGCCTAAAAAAAAACTACTTAAAACAGCTGCAATAAATGTAACAAAAAAAACGACTCAATCCTTTAAAAATTTATAGGATTATTTTGCAAAAAATTATGAAATGTCTAACTCTCTGACTTGTTAATGCTTTCAAAAGTTTCAGATAGCTCCAACGTCTCAATATCTTCCGTTATCGGTAAGTACTCGGAGCTCAAATCCAAGCCTCTGGTGTCCACCCGTGTTGGCTGAAATCGACGGCAACAGCAAGGAGGTATTTAATCAAATCAAGTTTTATGTGTTACCTAAACTTTGCCGTCCGAAATTTTACGGGACATCTAATTACATGACAAAAAGAACTGTTAATTGAACGTTTGGTGGGTTTCTGCGATGTTGCTTAAGCATCACTTTGAACACTGATTGAAAACAGAATAGATTTTAAGCGATGACCATAATCGGATTGAATTTACAGCAGTTGTCAGTCTTATGTGCGCTAAAAAAACCCCAACGTTAAAAATTTTTTCTGTAGATTGTAAATAATTCTGAAGCCTTTTTTCTGCTAGAAAGGAACTACTATTGTGAAATCCACATAATTAACAGCCTCTACAATAGCAAAATTTAAGCAAGAAACTCTAAATAGCCAAATATCACTGTGGAATTTTTATTGTATCAATCTCCATCTTCTAGACGGGAATGCTTCAAGCTAACTGTGCTGCTTGTTTATATAAAATTTTAGTTGAAGCTGCTAAAAAATTCCAGCATAGGATGATTTAGACAAGGAGCTTTTACATATTCTTTTCTGGCTAGAGAAGATAGGTTTTGACTTATAAAACGATATTGGTTGAAAAGAACAAAACTGACCATTCAGTGGCTTAGAGCATTGTGAAAAAAGTGCATCTATTTATCAACAAAAATTATACTGATTAGATTCAGGTAATGCATCAATGACTCAGTATTTAGAATACACTTTCCTTTCCTGTGACCGCAAATGTCCCTTTTAAAAAAGACCTCATTTGCAAATAAACCTTCTTTCTAGATCAATTGGTTTCAGTCCTATCTGTCAAATTTACTTTGCAGAAAAACAAAAGCAAAAAGTCAGTTTGGTAGTCAAAAATTATTAACTAAAAAAAGGTACTAACCATTTAATAAGACTAACCAAGTTTTTGAAAATAGATGTAGAAAATTTTGTTAATAAAACCCTAACTGCTTGAAAATTCAAGGTCCGACAATTTTTACGAGACTCAAATTTCTACAATCGAATAGTTAGAGCGTTCATTATGCCGCGTCTTAATCTACTGTCATTCCATTCACTCGCTGCCCACAATCTTAATAAGGTTTTTTCAACTTTAATCACCTTCAAAAAAACACTTTTATCTAGTCACGACGCCATTTGAATATGGTTTTCCAAAACGCCAACAGAAAGAACTTTAACATACAAAAAAAAAAAGGCACAGATATATTTTGTCATAGTGTCAAAGCGAAAGGTTATAATTAATAATGCTTAACAAATACAATTCCGTATATACTTCTGTACAAATTTAAGACAATGAAAGTGGAAGAATATGAACGACACGTATGTTTCATTATGATGCAACTAGTCTGTGCTTTAAAATCGCTACAGTCTGACGGTGTGGAGATGTTAAGCAATAATTTTAAAGAATTCCTTCTGGCCTATAGGTAAGTTGAAATTTTGTTCAAAAAATCAACAGTGTTTTATTTTCGTAAGCAAACTATCCCTGCGGTACAGAACTTGTCACTTAATCGTATAACTTTTATATCAGTTCTCAGCTTTATTTAACTTGTTAAAAAATTCAGAATAAAAAAATTATATTTACAAAAAAAGATTATGATTACTCCTCTAAACTTATGATTTAAAACTGTTAGGCTGCAAAGGGGAGACCCCAAAAACAGCCGATACCTCTATATAATTTCATTACTGTATAAAGCCATAAAATAACTATTCATTCATTCTTTTTTTTTTTTTTTTTTTTTCCCCTCATCA